GTTTATTGACCCTAGCTCCACTTACTGAAACCAACCATATTTCCATAGTATCTATGATTTTACTAGGGCCATGGCCAAAACCAACACATATCTCTGGAAAGTTCTAGATTAGAGTTCTTTACCTAGTTTTCCTAGAGGTAGGACTGTAAGAAAGAATGTGGAATGGACCAATTTGCCTTTCAAGTCTGTGAACTTCCAGTTGGCTCCATAAACCTTCTGTATGCTGCCTGAAATTTGCAGAATGGCAGCAGTTTTTAGGCATCTGCCAGACAGCGGTATATGGCTAATGACTTGCTGAGGTGACTTACTAGGTGCTCTGTGGATATCCTGGAGAATTTGACTGTTTTCCAGGAATGTGTAAAATCTCTTTGATGTGTACACAAGAATGGGAGGTGATTGGATAAACTTCATCATGCAGAAATGCTAGATTAGTCTCATTGTGATGAATGTTAAAAAGGAAAAAAAGAAGCATGAATATTGGACTGTAGCTTCAGTGTAATATGTGTAATATGATATGTTAGTGTACAAAATCAGTTTAGTTACCTGTTGACCCACTAGTGTACAATAGGCTAACGACTAAGAGGATTGCAGCAAATGAATAATTAAAGGAACCCAGGAACCCAGTGTACTTACTACCCACAGAAGAGGCTATCCATTAAATCATGGGTCTTCAAACTACAGCCCACAGGCCGGATCTGGCCCGCCATGCCCATTTATCCAGCCTGCTGCAGAGGTTTTGGACTCCCTGTGTGCACACCCGCCACTGCCTGCCTCGCCCCACGTGCGGGGAGACAGCAGCTTGCTCGCACGGAGATCGTTTTGGACTCGCTCGGATAAAATGATCTCCAAGCGAGCAAGCGGCTGCTTCATGCGCCCGCCTCGCCGTGCACTCCCGGCTGCACTTCCCCTTGCCTGCCTGGCCTGGCCTGGCCTGGCCTGGCCTGGCGGCGCACCCCGCCCCTGCCTCAGCCGCAGCCTGTGCGCCCGTGTGCCCCGCCCCCACCCCTTCCCCGGCCCACACAAACCAGCGGCACCCCCTTTCCGGCCCGTGCCCAGCACCAGCACCTTTCAGCTGGCCCCCAGGTGAGGACCCCTGCATTAAATGATCCATTGTACTGGCCTTGCCCTGCCTTCCAGTCTGAGCTAGCACTTTAAAACATTGTTTTGGGTGCTGCTGTCCTGTGCAAGCAATCAGAACTGACATTTTAAACATGTTTTACATATTTATTTTTAATTTAAGGTATTTCTATACCATTCAATTAGACAAGCTTACAGAATGGTTTACAGAATATACTTTTAGAAATCAGCAGTGCTTTTTTTGTAAGAAAAAAGGTGCTGAAACTCACATCTTGTTAATCTTTTATTTAACAAATTACATATTCAGTTCTTAACATAAATTTAATTTATTGTATTTAAGGCAAATGTTCATAGTAAATTCCAAAGTTTTGTCCAATTCTCACCCGACAAATCTTCTCGACTCCTTTCCTGTTAGTATCTATGTGTTCTATCATTGTGTCTGTTAATATTCTGGCCTTTTTATTAGCAGGACCGGTAGTTGAGAAGTAATTAGTAATTTTTTTCGTTTTTAAATTTGTGGTCACACTTTTACACTAAAAATTAAAAAAAGATTTTCAATTCACCAACTTTTTTTTTAAATAAAGAAATTATTTACCTTTTGCATGTAGTCAATCACTGTACACACACCCACACACATCAGCTGTGTAACGGAACATAACGGTCGCCGCCTGCGATAAGCACTTAGCACGCAACCACACGACCGATCACAAGCCACGCAGTGCCACAAGCTGAGCAGCGCCATCATAACCAGCGCGGACGAAGTGCGCATGCATCGGATTCAGCACACAAGCAGCCTGCCTTCACCATTTTAATGATTTTGCCACCAACCTGCTATGCTCGACAGGGCGATTCACATCCACGTGGACCAAACATCAAATTTTCAAAAGTTACTTTTAAAATTTGGAAAATCCATCAAAAAAAAAAAAAAAAAAAGGTGCTGGAACTCTGTTCTGGTGCTTTTTTATGACAAAAAAAGCACTGGAAGTCAGTAACAATCTATTTTAAAAAATTAAAATAACCTTTCCTGTCATAAAACAGCAACATAATAAAATTTGACAGGCCATGATAAATCAATAGCAAAACAATGCATAATAACATAATGACCATTCCACCTGTTTTTGGCAGTAATGTATTTTCAGGCATGAAGTGACATTTCTTTGGCTTGGGATCTTGCCTGAACACAGATCTTCCTAGCACTGGGCTGTATTTTGTGTGTTCCCAGGTCTAATTCCCCATCCTCTGCCCCGGTTCTAACTCCTGGCTCTAGGTTCAGCCTTGAAAGTTGAGCAGGGGCCATTCTGCCATAACTTCATGCTGAGGGTTTTTTTTTTTTTTTTTTTTTTTTTTTGGATATTCAGAGCTATCCAACTCTTACTATGACTTGCTGCTTAAGGATTGCCTTTTGCCTTTAATATAGCTTATCCAAAATGATGGGATGCACAGAAACCCTTGGGGTTGGGTAGACCTCTCTAAAGGCATTTTTATGGTTATCAGAGTGAAGTATATTTCTAATTAAATGTAAGAAAAAGTCTTAGTTGTTAGAAGTTTGGGAAATATTAATATAAAAATAGCAAATAGAAATATTGCCATGCCTCTGTGGTTTTAAAGATTTATCTGGATGATCCCCAGATTTATCCTGGATGATATTTTTAAACGCATGTCTCAGATGGGAAGTGGGGGATGGTAATCTCTTTTCTGTCTTGGCAATTATTTTTAATGCTTACTCCTATCTCAACTTATGCATTTATTTATTTTATGAGAAATGTTGCCCTTTGGCTCTAAAACCCACTCTCACGTAGTTTTCATTAGTATAACTCAAACACTATACTTGAGTGCTGCCAGGAAATGTGTTCCCCTCTGTGCCTACATTTGTTGTTGTTCAGTCGCAAAGTGGTGCCCAACTCTCTGAGACCCCATGGACAACATTCCTCCAGGTTCTCTTGTCCTCCACCTTCCCTTGGAGTTCACCAGGCCCGACACCCACCTCCCCAGTGACCCCATCCAGCCACCTCAACCTCTGCTGTCCCCTTCTCCTTTTGCCTTCAATCCTTCCCAGCATCAGGGTCTTTTCCAGGGACTCCTTCCTTCTCATGAGGTGGCCAAAGTATTTGAGTTTCATCTTCAGGATCTGGCCTTCTAAAGAGCAGTCAGGGTTGATCTCCTTGCAGTCCGAGGGACTCACAGGAGTCTCCTCCAGCACCACAATTCAAAGGCCTCAAAGCTTCGGCGCTCAGCCTTCCTTGTGGTCCAACTTTCACAGCCATACATTGCAACTGGGAAAACCATAGCCTTGACTATACGCATGTTTGTTGGCAGGATGATGTCTCTGATTTTTAGTATGCTGTCTAGATTTGCCATAGCTTTCCTCCCCAGGAGCAAGCATCTTTTAATTTCATGGCTGCAGTCCCTGTCTATGGTGATCTTGGAGCCCAGGAAAATAAAATCTGTCACTACCTCCATTTCTTCCCCTTCTATTTACCAGGAAGTGATAGGACCGGATGCCATGATCTTAATTTTCTTAATGTTGAGTTTCAAGCCAACTTTTGCGCTCTTCTTCTTCACCTGCATCAAGAGGCTTTAGTTCCTCTTCACTTCCTGCCATTTGAGTGGTATCATGTGCATATCTGAGGTTATTTATATTTCTTCTGGCAATCTTAATTCCAATTTGTGATTCATTACTCAGTTTAGCTTTCACATTTCTAAATTTGAAATGAAACATCATTTCATTGATGTAAAGAGAATTTGCGCATTGTGATTTTGTTATTTCCTAACATCTGCATTTTAAGTTATCAAGGTGTTTATTCTCAACTTTTAACCTCTGCCTCCTGCTTGTAGAATTCTCTGCACCCTCCTACAAGGGCTTTGTCTAATATCTCCTCTCCCCTGTTCAGGTGGTTGATCCAAGCTTAGGAGGCTAGATAGGTTTATCAATAGCTCTTGACCATGACAGCTGAATGGAACCTGCATGTTCAGAGGCAGTATATCTCTGAAAACCCATGCTAGGGAAAAATAGGTGTTGGCCATTGCCTGATACCCTGTGACTTGGCCTGATCCAGAAAGGTTAATCTCATGTTGCTGTTATATGTATGACGATGTTGATATATCCTTATTTATGTGTAGTCTGTAAACCACTATGGGAGTATTATGGTAGAAATAGTCCACTCTAGTAATTTGTCCTTTTTACCTGATATTGCTGCATACCTCTGGTCTTTCCCAGTATTGATTTGTGGATGCCTTTTGGGAAAGATGGCGTAATTCTTTAAAAAAATAATCTCCAGACTCTGGCTGTTATCAACTGACTCGTATGCCACTTATCTAGAATTAGAGTTGCACAGAGTTTACCTTTTAACTGCTTGCTTAGACTTAGTGTTGAGAAAGCAGTATTAGTTGTGGAGTGAGACATATGACTGTACCACTCATGGTCACTTGAGAGTCAAGGAAACCTTGTGACTCATTTTGGTCTTTGGAAAACTATAGTCCACAGTCTAGGTGGTTTTAAAACACTGCCTTAGAAACTAATTTCAATAACACTGGCCTGGCCGTTGATGCCAGCATAACCCTATGCCATGAGCTATGGTTTTTCTGACACTCACTGGAATGTAGGATATGAGGCAACTGTAATGTTTGTGAAAGACTTTCCAGATATTAATATTACATGAGAAAAAGCACCCAGACAAGGTGCAAAAGAATTTCTGCATACACTACAACATACCAATATGATTAAAAATAGAGATGAAAAGGCAAGACTTGATTGTACTGTTTTACTAAACTTGTTTTTAATCCAAAGAGTTGGATTTGGATTGGGATATATCTAAGGAAAGACTGCTCATAGAGTTGAATGTAGAAAGGAGATCTGAGGAGGCTTACTGTATTGGTGGCATTTTCCTTTTCTAAACCCATTTTTCTTTGATTTTTTCCTCCAGTTTGCAAATATGCTTGCCACAAGAAATGTGAAGCAAAGGTAAGTTCTTGCTTTTTTAAATGTTAAATGTGTTGGCTTGGATGAAAAGAATTTTGCAGCAACTATGCATGTTGAGGGGCTTGTTGGTATTCTGTTTTTTAAAGTGTCAGAAGTATCTAGAATAGAGGCAGCAAGTAACAGTTTAGTATGCTGGGTGGGGGGAGGATTGTGGTTCAGATGCATGAGGATTCCATTTTGACTCTGGAGGAAGGATGGGTTTTAAAAGGTAATAAATGAATAAATAAAATATCAGGAACTTTTAATGGTCAATATCAGCTATTTTTTTTAACCCCAGAGAGTTTTGCCTGGTGCCAACTTTATACTCTTTTGGCAGCAGGTAAAGACTTTTTTATTCAGTCATCATTTTAATAATTGAGGTTTTTAGATATTTTAAGATCTGTCCACAGTCTCCTTTCCTTTCCTTTCCTTAGTTTTATGAAGTGCAGTTTTATGTTGGCTTAATATCTACTGTTTTAATTATTGTATCTTTGTAATATTATATTTTATTTTAAATCATGAGCTATTTGTCAGAAAGGACAGGATATAAATGTTTTATTAAATTAAATATTAAAATTAAATTATTTTTTTAAAGAAATGGGTTATTTAGAAGTTGCCTTGATTCTTTGTAAGCTACTTAGCCAACTTGTCAGAGGCAGAGAATAGAATGAAGACACATGCAAGAATCTGAAACATTTAAGAATAGCTATCTTAATGCACTTGCTTGATTGATATGATTAACCATGGTTTAGTGCTCTAGGGATGAACCTGCATGAAATTGAGTAAAGCTTCTGGATCACATGTTTCTTCTCTTCTCTCCCTTTTCCCGCATAGAAGAGCACTCTGGCAGTCCACTTTTACTGTATCCTGATTTACTTTGGTGCTCAAGCTAGAGATCCCGATTTTAAACTAACCTTAGTTACTTTAATAAGCCAGCTTCTGAATCCATGCTTTGAAGACCTCTTGTATAGCAATTGTTACCCTTGCAACCACAGTGAATTTTGTTGCCTTACAATCTAGCACTGTGTGGATGAGCCCACAAGAAATAGCAGGCTCATCCCACCCCCCTCTCCCCCCAAATCCCATCTGGGAACTGTTTGGAAACAATCCAAATTGGTTCATCCCTTTTATCCCCATGAGCTGTGATCTTGCCCAGCAATTTAGGCTTGACCTTGCCCCCTCAATTCGGCTTTCATGGGAGCTTTATTTCAAGCCTAAATGCAGACCTATACATCCATACTTGTAGGTTCCATTGAGTTCAGTGGGGCTTGTAAATTGACTGCAGGGCTGCAGCCCCAATATTCCCTTCTGTTAAAGGAAAACAATGTATTTGTCTTCAAAGCTTTTATCTGTCTTGTTTGTGTTCCTTTTCATCTTTATTATTCCTACCACTCTTCTGACTGTCTTTTATATTCATTTTTTAAAAACCTCCTGTGTGTATTTCTCTGAACGCAGCTGCTCTAGAAAGGGAATCCTGCTTCATGATCTGAGAACACAACTGTGGATGGAGTGAATGTGTGTATTGGCAATTTTGGAAACAATGCAAATTGGTTCAGAGAATTAGAATGGAGATAACTTTCAGATTCAAGGAATAGTCCTCATTTCTAGTGTTGTTGTTGGTTTGGAGGGTAAACAATGATTGTCGTGTTTATAAGAACAGAATATTTTTTCTATGTCTTCTGCTCCAGTCACCATTTCCAGTGATATTTCTTGCCTGTATATTTTATGGCAGGTGACATGTTTTAGCAGTCTTGTTGATTTTGCAGGGTGGTAGGATGAAAAACCCAAATTTGGATGAAAGTCTAGCATACCAGTGTAACCAGAATGATGGAATGAAGTGGATAAGTACCTACAAAGTATTTAGAGACTTGAAAATACAAACAGGAAAAACTTAATTGTTACCAGAAGAATGACAAGTGGTGGGGGAATGGATTTGTGATGAAGCATCAGAAGGCAGGGCTAAGTTGGTACTTGTGCACAAACTCCTTGGCATGCTATGACCACTGATGTGTGTGATTTGGTAGAAGATGTCTTCACTTCCAAGCTGTGGCAAACAGGTGTTTTCAGTGTTCAAAGACAATACATTAGACACAAATGGTATTTTGTTGTGCCTGCTTTAAATGTTTCCTTCAGAGCCAATTGTCTGTAGGCTCTAGCTATGTTGTAGGCCATGGGTCCTCAAACTACAGCCTGCAGGCCAGATCCGGCCTGTCATGCCCATTTATCTGGCCCGCCTCAGAGTTTTGGACTCTTCACACCTGCACCCATTGCCGCCCGCCTCCCACGCGCTTGCCACCGCCTCACCGCACAGGCTCGGAGATGGTTTTGGACTCACTGGGAGATCTCTTGAGTGAGCGAGCCACTGCCGCATGTACTTGCCGCCACCTTGCGCGTGCCTGTTGACCGTACCCATTGCTGCTGCCTTTCAACTGGCCCCCTGTTGAAAAAGTTTGAGGACCCCTGTTGTAGGCCATGCATTCTATGTTTCCACAGTTGCTTGTCATTTCAGGGAAGTTAGAAATTATGCTGCTAAGCTTACTGAGTAGCTGGAATCTAAATGTGACTGGCCATCCACGTAACTGGCCTTGTTATGGGGCCTTGTCATATTTTTGTCCAAATATGATATAAGACCCCAGCATTTATTTATGATTTAAAAGTGTAAACATTGACACAAATATAAATCCTTTCAGTTCTGCATTAATGATCAATGCCAATAAGCCTGAAACTAAGACTAGGAAGGCTTGTAGATTTAGACTTTTGGGATCCCAGACCACCTGAGGAATTCTGGAAGTTACAGGCAAAGCCATCTAGAGGGTGAAAAACTGGCTTAGTGTTGATATACATGTTTTTCTGCCAGCTACTAATCAGTTCAATCCTGGCTTGAACATTGACATTTTCTATCAGGTCTCCACTGTAGTAGCCAGGGATTTTCTGGTCCTGAACTATTCAGAAACATCCTTAAAGCTTCAACAAGTGTGAAATTGGGGACAGTCTGGATACCCTTTTCGTCCCAGACCTATGAAAATATTTTTTTAGAGTGTGATTTCTGTATGACTAATCAGAAGTAAGTGTCACTGATTGGCAGAAAAATAGGTATAGGCGAGTTGTCAACATATGCATTTTCAAGATAGGTATAGAATTGTAATAGTCAAATCAAACTGTTCTTGTATGTGGATGTTGCCATTTCCCCTCAAGCACAGACACATACAAAGCAAACAGGCTTCACTGTATTGAGAATAATATAACACAATATAAGTATCATAGGAATGGTAAGTAATTGCAGAATAAACCCATTTTTAGCTTGCAGGATGTATTCTGCTAAATTAAATTATGCATAAGAGGAGTTGGTTTTTAGTATTATTTCTTCTGCACCTTTCTGTGCAGACAGGTAGCATGCAAACCTTAAACCTTTGTGTTTTCTCTTTAATCTTTCACTCAGACATCACTGTGCATAGAAGTAGGATATCCAACTCTATGCATAGTGAGGGAATCTGGAGGAAGGGAAAATATGTGAGCTGGACAGATCTAACAATGCTGTAAGAATGTAAGGTAGTAGGTAGGTGGTAATGGTGGTGGAAGGGACAGTCCCAGCTCATTGTGCTTCACGAAAACAATTTATTTAAGCAGACATATGTACTCCTTCAAACACTAAAAAGCATAAGGCTTTTTTTTAAAAGCACAAAAGTGTGTGCTATATTTAACTAGTGAAACAAGCTTAGATTGCAGTGCAACAGTTATTCCATACATATATCACTGAAGGTTTCAGACCTGCCAAGTTGCTATTTTCAGCTCAGTCCTGAAGACTGAAGAAGGGGGCATTAATGAAAATTAAGACTCTACAAATTTAGACCAGATGTCAGGAAGTAGTTTTTCATCCGGACAGCAACAGATATGCAACAAATATGTAGATCAGTATCTCAGACAGGGTTGTTGAGACAAAAAGCAGTACAAGCTAATACAGTCCTGAGGGACATGAAACTCTTAGTAATTTCAGTGTCCTCTTAGAGCTAGCTGCGTATCTCCCACTGCTGGATGGTTACAGAATCTCAGAAATGGCCATATCAAAGTTCTCCATTTCCATGGGGCAAAAGGCTCAGATAATTGTTCCTAAAATTTCCTTTTTACAAATCCTTTTTTATTGTGACCTGTTAATGGGCCTTCATTAGTCATTATAGTAATGTTTCAATCGGATGCGCCTCTGTTCCTGCACATGTAGCTAATTAGTTCCTAATAGGGAGAAGCAATCACCAATGCTTAATTTCTCTCTCCATTGGGTTTGTTTTCCTAGTATGGTCTTGAGCCATTCACTCTATATCAGTTAGTGTTCAGGACATATTGCTTAAATTAGAAAGCTGTTCTTTTGTCTTGCCTTCCATTCTTGGTTATCCATTACCCCTATGCCCTGGAGTGTATAGAATATGGCATACCAACTGCTTAAATCACCTGGGGCATTGTGTGGCCACAAAATTAAAATCCACAAATCACTGGGGCTTGTGTGAAGATTGCAGAAGCACACAGGTAAAGAAAGCTGTGTAAAGATATTATTGCTTGTCTGAATTGCGCTATAACTAGGAAACTGGCCATAAAGAGACTGTTTCCAGGTTTCTTCATTATAGCCCTGCACTGGGGGGAGGGGGAGGCGGGTGCACTCAGGCAGGGAACATGGGCACAGCCATCCCCCCCCCCGCCCCCAGCACAACTGCAATCACGCCCATGCAGGGAAGGTGGGCGCGCTCGCGATTGTCACCCAATGCAGAGTTTGCGACCTGCAGCAACATTTTTATGAGATTTCTGTTCGTGACCCAATTTGGTCATGAACTGAGGCATTCGTGAGCCGAGGTACCACTGTATCTCGAAGATCTGGTGGATCTTGATAGAGAAAAGGGATGGGTAGACCTATGAATCAGTGAGTAACTGGATTAATTAGGTACTGAATGATTCCTGTGTGTATGGTTCAATGGCATATTTGTGTTGCTCAGGTGTGAAGGATATTATGGGTAGAC